CCTTCCAACCCCCAACCAATCATGTGTGTTCCCAGGCTTGGCGCTGAGCTGCCATCCGATGGGAAGTCCCTTGCTTCTTACTCCAACCACGTGGCCCGGGCTAGGACCCCTGCGTTCCTCAAGCCTACCTCCCTAAGAAAAAAATCACAGTGGGGCTGCTGGCCCCTGCTGATCCACTTTCTCTGCCAATCATGACCTGTCCCTCCTTTCAATTCTGGGCACACCTCTGTGATCTGCTGTGGCTGGCACAGACTGGTGTTTTTCCTGATATTCTTTGGCCCTGGCTTGGAATTCTGAGAGCCCCTGTGGACCTGACTTTGTGGCTGGGATTGCCCTGGCTAGGGCCTCTTGCCCAGTAAGCCTGCCCTCCCAAGTAGCTCTGGGTGGAAGCGCTGCCAGGCCCAGTGTTTGGGACAAGGGAGACAGAGGCCAGGGCGAGAATCCAGCTTTGACCTTTATTCAAGAGACCAGATAGGTTGCCCCAGGATCCAGCTGCCAGCCATGAGGCCAAGCAGGGCTGGAGACCCACGATCTGGCCCTGCTTTGCCCTGAGCTGCAGCCTCAGCCCCAGGATCCTGCTTGCAGCCCCTGCAGGCACAGGCAGAGGGAGCCCTGGGGGATTGGACGCTGCTATTGATTCATTAAAAAAAAGAAAAATACACCAAGGCTCCGCGTTCCCCATAATGGGTGGGCCTGGGGAGCCAGTGTGACGCCCCACGGCTGTGTGATTTCTGTACAATCCACCATCTGGGGCAGAGGGCGGGCACACCGAGGCTATTTCTTGGCTTTGGCGGAGTTGCGGGGTGGGGTGATGGGCCGGCCTCCAGGGTTCAGGCTACTGAACTGCCCGTATTTCCCCTTGTTCTTGTCGGCGGGCTTGAGGATCTAAGAGAGACAAAGCTGGTCAGCTCACGGGGCCACGCCAGGGACCACCAGCCCCTTCCTCTCCAGCCCCACCTGGAAGGAGCACATGAGCGTCTCGTCCACACTCATCATGGCGCCTGCGTTGTCAAACTCGCCACAGTAGTTGGGAGCTGAGAAAAGTGTCACCAGCTGCCGCTTGGCAAAGAACTCATAGCCATCTTCTACCACCTGGAGGAGGATGGGGGCGGTTAGTTCAGCAAGTGCTGGCTGCCCAGGCCCCGTTCCCACCGGCCCAGAGCTGCCAGCCCACCTGGTGCGCCCGGCAGATGAGGTCCAGATCGTGCTTGTGCAGGAACTTGGCCACCACCTCAGCCCCGAATGTAAAGGAAACACCACGGTCGTTCTCGCCCCAGCCTTGCACGTCCTTGTCAGGGTCGGACCACAGCAGGTCACAGAGCAGCCCCTGGTCAGGCACATCCGTGGGCCGCATGATACGCCGGATCTGCTCCATCGACTGCAGGTCGGGGGACAGGCCTGGGGGGTGCAGAGCATAGGACGCTTCCTCAAATAAGCCTCAGAACAAGGACCCCCTCCTCCAGACAGCATTTGCAGTCAGCCTCTGCCTCCCCCGTACCACCTGGCTGTCTCCTGGGAGCCCAGGCAGGCAGAACTCATCACCTTCTGCCTCTTCAAGTCCCTGCCCTCAGGGAGCACACAGCTCCCTGGAGAAAGGAGACAGGTGAATTCCATGCTGGATGCTGAGGCCACAACAGGGGAGCGAGTACGGCCTAACACTGGGGTGCAGGGGGACTTCCTGGAAGAAGGGATATGCGAGCCCAGACGCCAGGGAGAGCTGTTCCAGGCACTCTCTTCATCCCAAGGCCCCCAGGGATGTGGCCAGGCTCCTTCTCCCCAAGCATTCCCACAGCAGGTACCCCAGAGCCGCCCTCACCTCCATGGCAGCAGAAGATCTTCTCATCCACAATGGCAGCGATGGGCAGGCAGTTGAAGCAGTCAGTGAAGGTTTTCCACAGTTTAATGTTGTAGCGCCTCTTGCCTGCCCAGAGTAAGGAGATGGCTCATGAGGAGGCCTGTCTGCCTGACCCTCAGCCTGGGTCTCTGGGCCCTCCCAGGCACTTCGTGGGCTGTTCAGACACAGCTGGGAGAAGAGAGTGGAAGGCAAGAAGGGAAACCCCCAACCCCACCCCACTGCCTACCAGCCTTCTAAGAGGAATTCTAAAGCAGCTGAGTGCACAGGAACCTAGAGTTCCAATCTGGAACAACCTCAGGTTTGGCACCCACCCCGTGAGCAGGAGCAGGGCCAGGCCAAGACCAGGTCTGGTTTATCTCAGCTTCTGGCCCACAGAGTCCAGTCCAGATAGGCATCCTATGTGCTTAAGTAACGGATGTGCCGGAGGGAGTGTTAGCAGGCAGGGCCCTGCATGAAAATATGGTCAGCTCTTCAGTCAGCAACCATTCACCAGACCCCTCCCGAGTGCCAGGCCCCAGGCCAGGAGGGCAGGGCCCTGCCTTCACGGAGCTCGCAGTCCAGCAGGTGTCTGTTAGACACTGATATCCCTACCACCAGGACAATGTGAGGGCCCCACTGGACAGCGGGGAGAGCTCTTCAGGACTTGGGCAGCCCCAGACACCCAGCCCACTCACACTCATCATAGAAGCCATAGATGCGGTTGATGCTGGCACACTCGTGGTTCCCGCGGAGCAGGAAGAAGTTCTCGGGGTACTTGATCTTATAGGCCAGCAGCAGGCAGATGGTCTCCAAAGACTGCTTGCCCCGGTCCACGTAGTCCCCCAGGAAGAGGTAGTTGCTCTCTGGAGGGAAGCCACCATACTCGAACAGCCGCAGAAGGTCGTAGTACTGGCCGTGGATGTCACCTGTGACCCAGGGAACCGGGGTCAGCACTAGGTGCAGGGTCGAGACTTGAATCCAGGGCCAGGGTTGGGCTCAAGAAAAGGGATCCAGGGACTCTAGGGGCCAATGCCACTTTCAGGAAGCAAAGGAGCCTGGGCACGGGGCTCACCACAGATCTTGAGGGGCGCCTCCAGCTCCAGAAGAATTGGCTGGCTCAGGAAAATCTCCCGGGATTTGAGGCACAGACCACGGATCTCGTTCTCCGTCAGCTGTACATTCTTTCCAGGTCGTGAGCCCTGCACTGGGGGCGGAATGGGGCGTCAGGACCCTGGCCCTTCAGGCAGGAGGAGGGTGGGCGACACGGGTGGCCCCAGGAGCACTTCTGGAGGCTCCCAGGCCCCTCCTTGCCCAGGGGCAGCTGTTGCTGCTGAGCCTCCCGGGACGGGACCCCAACTACCCTCAAGTCACTCGAGGGGGGCTGCTGTGCGCAGGGGCCTGCCACCCAAACCCCATAGCGCAGGACCCCTCCCTGGGGGGCTGGGCTTCTCACGTTTCACCCTCGCCCCAAGAGCCCCAGCCACCCCGTACGCCCCTGGCCCAGAAGAGGGGGCAGCTCCCCGTGCCGGAGCGGCCCCAGACCTCCTAGGCGCGTCGCCAGTGGGGGGGGGCCGCGGCCCTCGCGGCCCGTCCCCGCCCAGTCTAAGCTGGCCCTGGGAGCGGCAGGCCCGCCCGCGCGCCACTTCCGGGCCGGGCAGGGGGCCAGGGCGCGGCGGGCGCCGACCTCCCCCGCCCCGGCCAACCTTCCAGCAGGCGCCCGATGATAGAGTCCAGGTTGAGCTTCTCGCTGTCGGACATGGCGGCGCCGCCGCTCCGGCCCAGCAGCTCCGGGCCAGCTCCTGCCTCCCGCCCTCCCGCGGCCTCCTTCCGGCCTGGAGCTCCTTCCGCCATCCCGGCCCGCCCCGGCCCGCCGCCCCGCCTCCTCGGCCGCCCGCCCCGCCCGTCCTATGACCGCGGCCCCGCCCCGCCCCGCCCCGCCCCGTCCGCTGCCCGAGCGCTCTAGCGCCTCCGCAGGACGCCAAGCGCAGCGGCCCGGGAGGCGGGGCCTCGGCTGTGGGCGGGGCTTGGGCCGGGCTCGGCGTGTCTGGGGCGGGGCCTGGTCGGTGGGCGGGGCCTTGTGGGGCAGGGTGGAGTCTGGCTCCGCCCCTGAGGATCACCCAGGCCCATAGGGAGGATATGAGGCCGGAAGTACTGTGGAAGTTGTTTTTATCTTTCAAAAGCTAAACAGTCCTTCCCACCCCTACTCTGGGCGAGGGGGCGGTGTGAGCACAATGATAACGGTCTCCCTGAACGCTGCAGATTAAGTCCTCGAAGTGCAGAAAAGGAAACAACTTCAGATATAGCGAGGGGCTGGTTCAAGACCGGGGCCTCGCATTCACCGAGGACCTCTACCTCCTGAGTGTCTTTGGCCCCCAGGCGCTGAGCAGACCCAGGCAGCTGCCGCAGCACTGCGAGCCCATTTTGGTCCACACTGCCTGTGGTGCACACTAATTATTACTTTTTATAAGTCCCATCATTGCCTTCTGAGTAGCATAATGATGCTGCATTGTGTGTGTGTTAAAAGTATTACTTTGTAAAGAATAAACATTAAAGAAACCATAATTCTTTTTTTGTGTGAGGAAGATCAGCCCTGAGCTAACATCCGATGCCAATCCTCCTGTTTTTGCTGAGGAAGATTGGCCCTGGGCTAACACTAACATCCGTGCCCATCTTTCTCTACTTTATATGGGACGCCACCACAGCATGGCTTGACAAGCAGTGTGTGGGTGCACGCCCTGATCCTAACCTGCGAACCCCGGCCGCCGGAGCGGAGTGCGCGGACTTAACCGCTACGCCACAGGACCGGCCCCAAAACCATAACTCTTATTGGAACCCTGATTTGAGTGTTTTACACGGCAGTAACCTCAAAAGTGGAGGTGGCCTGGTCTCTCTGCCTCTTGCAGGCCTTGGCCCCATCACACGCAGCACAGAAACCCAAGCCTGCAGCCACCCGGCCCATGGGGAGGGTGGGAGGAGCCCATGGCCCAGGGGCACTGGGGCAGGCCGGAAGAGCCTCGGAGAGGAAGGGGTGACACCCCCTCTACACCCTTGGGAGGGGCCCCCCAGTGGGTTGCTGAAGCTGTGGCTGAGGAGGAAGTGAGAGGAGGAGGTGAGGTGCTACCGGGAGGTAAGCTGGGCTGGTGAGGACAGGGGCTGGGCCTGGGGCTATTTCCTGTACAGAGGCCTGGACTTTCTGCCACTTCAGGGCCCAGCCCCCCGCAACAGAAGAGGGGACAGAGGGGGCTTGGTGAAATACCCTGAAATCTCCCCCCTCTGATGCTGCAGCCAGGCCCTGGGGCTGGGGCCTGGCTGGATGGGAGCCCAGGCCGCAGGCTGGCTGGGAGCTACCTCTCACACTGGCTCTCCCCACGTCTTGCAGCCTGTGGCATCCGGGGGCACCATGGCCCAGGCCCTGGGGGAGGACCTGGTGCAGCCTTGCGAGCTGCAGGATGACTCCAGTTCTTTGGGGTCTGACTCAGAGCTGAGTGGGCCCGGCCCATACCGCCAGGCTGACCGCTATGGCTTCATTGGGGGCAGCTCGGCAGAGCCAGGGTAAGTGGGGCAGGAATGGGGTGCTGGGGTGCTGGGATTGAGGATGAGGGCTGAGGGCTGAATTCTAGAGTGAGGCCCAACCTCAAGGGTCCTGGAAGGATCTAGGAACTTAGCCAGTGCCACCCCTCCTCAGGCTCCAGGTGGAATCCCAAGGGTGGCAGGACTGCGGGTAGGGTGTCCCTGTATACTGTGGGTAGGGTGTCCCTGTATATCTCTTTTACCGCCAACCTCTGAGGGTGTGCACCCACCCTTAGGGCTGACCCTTCCCCTTTTAATCTCTGGCCCAGGAATCCCAGATCCAAATCATAGAACCTCTTCTCCCACCCTCACCCTTTCCCAATATACAGACAGGAAAACAAGTCCAGAGACAGATAGGAACTTGCCCAAGGTCACACAGCAGATCAGAGCCAGAACCAGACTCAAACTCGGGGCTTCTGGCTTCTAGTCCGGGGCTCTGTCCACCCAGCTTCCCCTGTGAGTTGTCTGTGTCCCTATCATGCGGGACAGCCAACCAGCCCCTCCCCCAACACACACCTACACACCCCCTTCAGTCTTTCCTGTTTCTGCCCACATGGGAGCCACTTTCTTTCCTGTCCCCATGACAACTACTGGCAACTCCTGGGTGACAGATCACCCTGCAGGGCTCCCCAGAGATCTCCAGGGCCAGGACCTGGGCTAACCCAAGTACCATGGAGGGTGGCAGATATGGGCTCTAGGTAACAGCTACCCAGCACCTGGATGCCTGTACCATGTGCCCCCAGACCAGGTCACCCTCCTGCAGACCTTATCCGCCAGCGGGAGATGAAGTGGGTGGAGATGACCTCACACTGGGAGAAAACCATGTCTCGGCGGTACAAGAAGGTGAGGGGAGAGTGGCCCCACGCAGGCCTCCTCGGCTCATTCCCCTTTGCCTCGGCCCCTGCCCCAGCAAAATTTACCCATCCTGTGTCCCAGCACCTCCTGCCTTTTCTCCCTACCACCCAAAGTGGGCCCCTGCCCAATGACAAGTTGTGCTTGGGGCCTGCCAACACGGCCCAGTGAGGCTGGCCTGGCTGGCCTAATGGGGCCCCTTGGCCTCACCCACAGGTAAAGATGCAGTGCCGGAAAGGCATCCCCTCAGCCCTGCGGGCCCGCTGCTGGCCCCTGTTGTGCGGGGCCCATGTGTGTCAGAAGAACAGCCCTGGCACCTATCAGGTAAGGGGGGGGGCGGGGGTCCTGCCTCCCCTTCCCAGAGCCCCTCGCCGCTCTGAGCCCTCACACTCATCTTCCTGCCCACCCACAGGAACTGGCTGAGGCCCCTGGAGACCCACAGTGGATGGAGACCATAGGCAGGGACTTGCACCGCCAGTTCCCTCTGCACGAGATGTTTGTGTCACCCCAGGGTCACGGGTACGAAGCCAGTGATGCTCAGGGACCCCCAGCCCCACAACCCCCAGGCACATCGGCCCAGTCCCCCACCCCTTTATAGCCTTGCATCTCAGGGGACCCAGCAAGGCGCAGGGGGCTGAGGCCTGGGCAGAGGCCGCCAGAGGGTGGGAAGGGCTGCCCAGAGGATTGGCCCCAAATGGGTCTTCTGGCACAGGCAGCAGGGGCTCCTGCAAGTGCTCAAGGCCTACACCCTGTATCGGCCTGAACAGGGCTACTGCCAGGCCCAGGGCCCTGTGGCGGCTGTGCTGCTCATGCATCTGCCCCCGGAGGTGAGTGCCCTTGACCCTGCTCCAGAGACCTGAGACACTGAACCCTCAGCCCCAGTGGGACCCAGTGATCCATGACCCCCAACCCCAGGGACTCTGACTTCAGGGAGCTAAGGCCCTTGATCCCCAATCCTAGGGACCTGGGGACCTTGTAATCCTGTGCCCTGGGCCCATGACCTCCAACCCCAGGAACTCTGGCCTCAGGGACCTGGGATCCTTGACTCCCAAATCCTGTCCCGGTGACCTGGGGCCTCATGACCACCAACCTCAGTGTTCTTCAAGCCCAACCACCTTGACTCCAGGAACCTGGGACCCTTGACCCCTACCCTTACCCCAGTGATCTAGGAGTCTGGCATTATCACCTTCACCTCGTGACTCCCGATTCTGAACCCTGTGGTCCCTGACCCTAATAACCCCAGGAGCCAGGATTTGAACTTTGAGACCCTCCCAACCCTTGACCAGTGAACCCCAACCCTGTGACCCTCAAATTCAACACCCTGAGCCCTGTGATTTCCAACCCCTTAAACCCATCGGTAGGCCTCTGTCTGGGCATGGGGGAGGCATTTGGTAAGAGCCCCCCCTGCAGTAAGTCCATGCTCCTGGCTCCAGAGTCACCCCAGATGGTGTCTAGGCCCTCCCCTGTGCCCCTTTCCCTTGCCCTGCAGTCCCCTCGTGTGGGCACTCACAGCCTGTGCCCTGCCCCCAGGAGGCCTTCTGGTGCCTGGTACAGATCTGCGAGGTCTACCTCCCCGGCTACTATGGGCCTCACATGGTGAGAGGCTGGGATGGGGCCAAGGGTACAGAAGGAGGGGCTGGGAAGGCGGGTGGGGGCCCAGGACAGAGGGGACAGAGCCTGAGGTTTGGGAGTGGAGGTGCTGACGGACTGGCCGCAGGAGGCCGTGCAGCTGGATGCTGAGGTGTTCACGGCCCTGCTGCGGCGGCTGCTCCCGCGTGTGCACAAGCACCTGCAGCAGGTGGGCGTCGGGCCCCTGCTCTACCTGCCCGAGTGGTTCCTGTGCCTCTTCGCCCGCTCCCTGCCCTTCCCCACCGTTCTGCGTGTCTGGGACGCCTTCCTCAGCGAGGGTGAGTGGGTGGCCGGGCGGGTGGGAGGGTGCCCAGGGCTGGGAGCCTTGGGGTGTGCGGTGTCTGCAGAGAAAGCACGCCAGCTCTGCTCTGCCTTGCCTGCTACTGCCAATCCTGGGTCTGAGTCTGTGTGCCGGGGTGTGCTGAGGGTGATGGCACCATGCCCCACTCTGGGGAGACAGCCCAGCCCCTGGCTGCACATCACCAGGGTAGTGATGGTGGCCCCTGCCCCTGTGATGAGACACCATAGGGAGGGCAGACTCTGCCTGGGGCTGGGCTGGGGCCAGGGAGTCTCCCTCCGAGGCAGATGGGGCAGGAGCTGGGAGATCACAGCAGTGGAGGGGCTCAGGGACTGGGCACGGTGGGGGCATGGCTGACGGTAGGAACACTCATCCCTGGAGCCCACAGGCTCTTGGTGAGCCCTCACTGTGCCAGGCACTGCTCTGGACACTGTGGGCCACCTGAGTGGGTGAGACCTACATTCTGGTGGGGGGGGATGGGAGGTAACCAAATTAACAAGATATTTATAGATTGTCATAAGTGCCATGAAGAAAATAAAACAAGGGACATGACAGAGTGTTAGTGGAGCCACAGGAGGAGATGCTGTTTTTAAAGATGCTTTTGGCTGCTCCATGAGGAGGCAAACTTGCAGGGGCAGTGTGGAGGGCGGGAGGCCGGGAGAGACACTGTTCACAGGATCCAGACTACAGATGACACGGGGTGGGGGGTGCGTGGAGAGAGGCGAAGCCAGAGAGGTGGACCCCGGGGCCAGGCCAAGAGTAGGGGAAGAGACGGGGCAGAGCTGAGCTGGACTGTGGGTCTTTGGGGCTTTGCCTCGGTACCCCACCTGCATTCTGGTCTACATGGGATGTCTGGCACTTGCACCTAAAAAATGGTGGAAATCAATCAGTACATGTACTGAGTACCGGCTGTGTGCCTAGCTGGCTCCAGGCCCAGCCTACGGGAAAGGACCACCGGCGGGCTTAGAACTCTGACCACGAGTGTCCAAGTCGCCATCTACACGTCGTCTTCCTTCCAGCCTCAGACCTCGAGGGCGGGCCAGGGCAGGGCCCAATCAGTGTGGCTGAGCCATTTTTGCCCTCTCCACCGAGGACAGCTCTGCTCCAGGCTCCCGTTCATAACGATGGCGACATTCGTAGTCGCTATCAGCCAGTTACAAATCACAGTTGTCACCAGGCCTCGCTGGTCCCCTGACTGCTCTTCTCAGCCGACCCAAGGCTGCCAGGAAGGGATTCTGAGGCTCCAGGAATGGCCCAAGGTCACACTGACAAGCACGTGCGTGCATGTGTGTGTGCATGTGTGCACTATGCTCTTGGCTTAGGGGTGAGGAGCTCTGCCGAGAATCTCTCTAGAATCACACTGTCACAGATCTGAGCACGGGCATCCCTGGCTCTTCCTTGTAGGAACTAGGAGCGGAAGCCCAGGGAGAAGGTTTGGCTCCCGCAGGCTGCTCTGCCTGGGGGTGTCTGCAGCTGCTGAGACTTACTCGCTGGTGCCCCCAGATTGCATTCCACTCCCAGTCATTGCTCGTGGCCTGAGTCAAGGCTGCAGAGCTGCAGGAGGGTAGAAGGAGTCTGGCTGCGGGCAGGTTCAGGTGCAGGACTGAGGAGGGCAGGGCTGGCCCCCGACTGAGTGAGCCCCCCCACCCCCTGCAGGCGTGAAGGTGCTGTTCCGTGTGGGACTGACGCTGGTGCGCCTGGCCCTGGGCACCACAGAGCAGCGCCTGGCCTGCCCGGGCCTCCTGGAGACGCTTGGTGCCCTTCGAACCATCTCCCCGGCCCAGCTGCAGGAGGAGGTCTTCATGTCCCAGGTGGGTGCCCCTTGCCCACCCTCTGCAGTGATCCAGCCCCTGCTGCACAGTTGGGGAAACTGAGTCCCACAGCAGGAAGTCAGAGTGAGAACTGGGGCTCAGTTCCCTGTCCTCTGAGCATCAGAGAACGTGAAAACCCCAGGCCTCAAGTGGCTTTCTATGGCTCCCTTCGCGAGGCTGTCTGTCAGCTCCTCAGCTCTCAGCCACTTCCTGGGGCTGTGTACTGCCCGCCCCCTCGGGACCTCACGGTTTCCTGCCCTCCCCCAGTCCAGACAGACTCAATACCAACCACTCCCCACAGGTGCACAGTGTGGCCCTGTCCGAGCACGACCTGCAGCGGCAGATCAGAGCCCAGCTGGCCCAGCTGCCCGAGTCGGCGTCCGGGCCACCCCCACGGCCGCAGGCCCGCCTGCCCGGGGCCCAAGCCATCTTTGAGGCCCAGCAGCTGGCAGGGGCGCGGGGAAGCACCAGGCCTGAGGTGCCCCGGATCGTGGTGCAGCCCCCAGAGGAGCCCAGGCCGCCCCGGCGCAAACCCCAGACCCGAGGCAAGACTTTCCACGGGCTCCTGACTCGGTCCAGGGGTCCTCCTATCGAGGGCCCCCCCAGGTCCCATCGAGGCTCCACCTCCTTCTTGGACACCCGATTCTGAAGGTCCTGCTTCTGAAGGGGCGTGGACTCAGTGGCCCCCAACCCCAATTGCCTGAAGGGCTGATGCCAGCCTCACAAATGGGCACTGCACTTTAAGGCTGGGATGTGGTGACTCAACTCCCTTCGCACGGACTGTGTCAGGCACAAGGATGAAGGAAGGAGTGGGATTTGGGGGACCCAGACCGGCCATCCGCCCATGGAGCTGTCCTGGGGCCTGGGCCCTTGCAAGAAGGAACGTGGGGGTAAGGGCAGTTGGCCGGGCTAGGGGAACCCAAAGGCTCCTGAAAGGTCTGGAATAAAGTCTGACTGAGCAGAAGCCTGGATGGGGTTGGATCGAATGCCCTCCACCCGCAACCCTAGCCCAGCTGCCCCTTCCCCTCCCGCCTTCACCCCCCAAAGCCCCACCTCTCCTGGTCCAGCCCTGGTTCCCGCGGGACACACGAGGCTGCCCATTGGCTGCTGGCAGGTGTTTACCAGCAACAGGAGCCAATGGTAAGCCGCCTTGCCCAACCTCTTGGGGCCAGGTAAGGCTCCCGCACCTGTGGGAGGAGGGCCCCCCCAGGTGGATGCTGGGCCTAGAAGTGGGGCCCTATCCCCTATTCTGTAGCCCCCTGCCACTAATTCAGAACACCCAGGGGTGGGGGGACGCTAACCCGAGTCCGCCCCCGACCCATGGTCCTGGTCCCGTCTACAGAGAGAGCCAGGCGAGAACAAAGGCCCAGTGTGCCAGGACAAAGGAGAAAGGTCCCGCCGGCCCTCGCCCCCACCCTAAGCCCCGGCTGCACCCCCTTGGGACTGCCACCATGGAAACCCCCTCCCACACTCACTAATTGCCGCCGTGGGTGCCTGGGGTGCCTGGGACATGAGCCATCGCCAGGACAACAGGGCTGGTTCCATGCAGGCTTGTGTCCCTGCAGCGCCCGTTCCTGGTGCCCTGCCTCCCTGAGCATCCTCCCCCAAAGATTGGAGGGTGGAGGGGCGGGGGCATGGCAGGATTTGAGGGGACCAGGAGAAAGTGTCTGGAGTCCCACTTAAATGGTGGAGTGTTCTATCCGCCCGTCCCAGTGGCTGTGCTGGAACATTGGCATGGCCACCCGTCAGACCCCCGATTCAGAATGGTCTAGTGACAGGGCCACGGGCTGCAGATGAATACACTCACTCTACATATGTTCTTGTAGTGCTTACTATGTGATTGGCCAGGCCCTGGGTCCAGGGCAGACCATCCCACTCCCAAGGAGCCTGGAGGAGGGAATCACAGGGGTCCAGACCCAGATCTGCAGTCTCCCTGGGTGAAACTGAGGCTCAGGAGGGGAGGGAACTTGGCTGAGGTCTAGCTGCCAATGGCAGACCCAAGCTTTACCCCTACCCCCCCATCAGCAGCCATGAACATGCCCCCCACCACTGGGCACCCACCTTGGTCTGTCCTCCTGGGAGTGCTCTCTTTCCTGCTTCCACCCACTCCCCCAGCCCTGCCCCAGCCTGGGTCCCAGCCCCTCTGAGTGTGGGGCAGCTGCTGGGCCCCTGTGAGTTACAGTGCTTGACGAGCCCTCCCTGTCCCTTCCCCTCCCCCCTCCCCTCCCCACTGGGGTAACTGCAGCTTAATAATGACCCACTCCCCTGCAGTTCACAGACCCCTTTCTCAGGCCCCCTCCCCATCCCACACCGCCCTCCCTGCAGGTGGCACTGACAGCTTCCTAGAGCGAGGGGAACAGGTGAGGTCATACCGGCCCAAGATCACAGTGAGGCGCCGAGGTGCTTTCTGACGATGCCTTAGGCACCAAGGGGCATCTAAGGGAACCTCAGGCACTGGAGCAGGTGGGGGGACCTGCAGGGAGCTGAGGGAACTCAGCCCACAGCTCTCTGCCCTCGTGGGCTCAGCTCTTCTGCCAGGAGGGGAAGGGAGCAGGAAAGCGGCAGCCCCGGCCCCAGGACTGAGAATCCATCATGCGTCTGGGAGAAGCAGTGGTCTCAGTGGCAGTGGGTTGCCCTGGATATAGACCCTAGGGGCAGGTGGTCTCCAGCAGGGACCCTCCAGCTGGGGATGCATCACTGCCGTTTCTACTCAGGGAAGCATTTTCTGGGAGTCCTTCTGCAGGTCCCATTATCAACCACCCACCTGCGGAGCCCGAGCCGAGGGGTCAGACGGGAAGGAGAGCTCCCCCCTGCTACGAACACTTTTCTACACACGCTGTCCCCACAGGGCTGCGCTAGCCCCTCCAGGCACGTGCAGCCCTGCGTGGCAGAGGAAAGTGACCACTCAGCCAGGTACCTTTGTGCAGGGAGCAACCTGCACAACCATCCTCAGTGAACCCGGCAACCCCAGCTCCCTCTGAACCTGCCTGGAAATGGGGCTTAGAGAAGGCAAGCCACACACCTGAGAGCACTCAGCCTGCAGAGACTGAAGCTGGGATGGCCCCCAGCGATATCTGTCTGCCTGGGTCAGCCCAGGGGACAGGAGTGGGGGGCAAGCAAAGAAGTGGAAGGGCAAATGATTCCCACCTTGGTCGGGGCAAGGGGGAGGGCGCATGGTTTCCATCTTGCACTGCCACCCACCCCAGAGGTCCCCCCATCCCCACACTGTCCAGAGGCCAGACGTGGCTTCTTGCAAAGTCCCTGCATGAGAAAGGCCCTGTCACTCTCTCTGAGCTTCAGTTTTCTCCTACAGAGAACGGGATAATAATTGCTTCCACCCCAGCCGAAGAGCGCTCTCACCAGTCTCATTATCATGATGATTATTGTTCAGTCCAGCTGGGCAGCAGCCAAGGCATCGCCTCTCCTCACCCCACCCCTACCTGGCTCAGCTCAGCCTCCAGTGACCTCCTGGCAGGGATAGCAGAACCGCCCTGCCAGCCTGCTTGCCCCAAGTCCCCGGGCCCTGGGCCTGAGCCATAGTTGCCTGACCCTGATTTTCCTCCCTGCATCCACAAGGCAAACGCCATCACAGCCGGGGCCCGGCCGGGGCGATCTGGGACTGAGCACAGGACCACTCCACTCTCCGTGCATGTACGCAGGCACTCTGGCAAAGGGAAGAGCCCAGCTCTGCCTCTCACCAGCTGTGTGACCTTGGGCAAATCACACCACCTTTCTGAGCCTCACTTTCCTCATCTATGAAAAGCAGAGAATCATAACTGCTACCTCACAGAGTTAAGTGAGATACAGCACGTAAAAGTCCTGCACCCAGCACCTGAAACAAGGTCACGACACACTTGCTGACACTGCCTTGGAGTACTTACCTCCTGCCCGGTGCCCCCTGCCCAGCCAAGCCTGGGCTAAAGTATGCATTATAATCTCCTTCTGAGGACAAGAAAACTGAGTCCACACAGGCTGCATAACTTGTGTTAAAACAAGACAACAGGCCCAAAATGGAGTCGCTTATGCTAAGCCCCAAGTCACCAAAGCAAGACTTAATTATAGTTTGGGATCTCCCAGAAATGGAGCCAATCCAGTACGTCAGGGATCCCCTGATCAGCACTGGTTAGGTCATCTGCCTGACAGACCCTGCCAGCCCCTAAAAGAAGGTGACCTTGCAGTAACCAACCCGCTGTTTCACCAGTATAACTTCCTTGTTCCTGCTCCCTTCTGCCTATAAAAGTCTTTCACTTTATACAGCTCCTTGGAATTCCTTTCTATTTGCTAGACGGGATGCTGCCTGATTCATGAATAATGAAGCCAATAAGATCTTTAAAATTTACTCAGTTGAATTTTGTTTTTTTAACACATAAGTGTCAAAGCTCCTGCTCTTTGATGACATCCCTGCCCCGCCTCTGCTCCCACCAGCGGGCTCACACCAAAGCTCAGGCTACCCTCGCAGCAAGAGAATGGATCTTCTCCGGTGACCGTACCTCGTCCCAGGACCTGGGCCTGCCAGCAGGGAGGGCCGCGAGTGCACCTGGACCCGAGAGCCCAGAGCGGCTGTGTGGGACTGTGGGCGGGGCTCGGGGACCCTGGGTCAGTCACTTCTTCCCTCTGAGCCCCTCCATTGGTAGACGGGGATGGTTCCTCATAGGCTGCTCTGTATACAGTTGCAGCAGGGCCCAGAGCTGCCACCTCTGCCCCCACAAGTGCCACGGGCCCCTCAGTACTCTCCCCAGCCCAGGAGGCTCTCGGGAGTCTCTAGGGGGAGGGTCTGAGTTGGGGGGTGTGAGGTGGAGGAAATGTAACAACAGCCTACACATGCTGGGTGCAGGACCCTGGGGTTAATCCTCAGCACAGGCCTGTGAGATGGGAAATCCCCCATTTTAGGCAGGAGAAAAGCGAGGTTCAGACCCAAAAGGAGCCATAGCTGGAGCTAAGATTGGAACCCGCCTGGTGTGACACACTTGCGGAAAGGGTGTGAGTCTGCGTGTGTTTTTTGGGTTGAATGTGTGGCTGTGAGCCAGGTCTCTTGCGGTGTGTGCTTCTGTGGCTGCTTGGGTGGGTGCACCTGGGTGTAAGGATGTGTCCTGAGGAGACTGTGGGTGTCGCTGCAGGTGTCCAACTGACCTGGCTGTTGATGGGCAGGGCAGATCCTGTAGACACGCCCTTTCTTGTGCTCAGACCCACTAGAACCCCCCAGGCTGGCCACCCCCTTCCCTCTTGGCCCCCTGCAGGCAGAGGGTATCCCAGGCAACTGGGACTGCCCTTGTGGGGGGGTCTTACTGAGTGGTCACTACTCTAGTAGGGGCCAGGAGAGGTCAGGAGGGGACCCACACATGTACAGGGACCCCTGCCCAAGAGGGCCTTCCTGGGAGAGTCTGCCATAGGGCAGAGAGCTTGTGGCTAGGACAGCTGTCCGGCTGGGAGGGCTAGGAAGCCCAGGGCTCCATCCAAGGGCAGGGCTCCGGGCTGGCTGTGTGCCCCAGTGCTCTCCTGGCCACTCCACCCCCCAGGGCGGGCCCTAGTACCAGTCTCTGCTGGCTCCAGCTGTCCCGCCCTTCCCCTCCTCTCCCCCTCTCTCCTCTTTCCATCTCTCTTCCATTATGGGACTTTCTCTCTCTCTGTCCCTGTCCCCGTCTGTCTTCTCTTTACCACAACTGCCCTATGTCTGTGACTCTCTCTGACGACGCCTGACCATTGGTACCTGGCCCTCTGTTTCCCGGTGTCTGTGTCTCTGAAGATACCCACGTGTCCCTTTGGCTGGCTCTGCCTGGCCCGCCCAGCGCCCTGCCCCTTGCCGGCCGGATGTCCCCCGCCCGCAGTACCGCGGATCCCTGGATGGGGTGCGGATGTTTTGGCGGGAGGGGCGGGGCAGTCCCC